TACATACATACATACATACATACATACATACATATGTACGTACGTTAGGTACGTACATACATATATACGTACATACATACGTACATACGTACATACGTACATACATACATACATACATACATACATACATACATACATACATACATACATATGTACGTACGTTAGGTACGTACATACATATATACGTACATACATACGTACATACGTACATACGTACATACATACATACATACATACATACATACATACATACATACATACATACATACATACATACATACATACATACATACATACATACATACATATGTACGTACGTTAGGTACGTACATACATATATACGTACATACATACGTACATACGTACATACGTACATACGTACATACGTACGTACATACGTACATACGTACATACGTACATACGTACATACATACATACATAGACATACATAGACATACATACATACACACATACATACGTACGTACGTACGTACGTACATACATACATACATACATACATATGTACGTACGTTAGGTACGTACGTACATACATAGTCAACATCACTGGCCGGCCATCCATGATGAAGAATTTTTACTCTCAACCAGCAAGGCATATTAGAGTCCAACTATGGATAACTAAAGGGCATGAGCCCAAAAAAGAGAGCTCGCAAGCAAGCTCTCATCCGCTCAGTAGTTATGAGAATGCCTTGCAAAGATGGGCTTATGTGCCTGGAGAAGAGGGCTTGTGTGTTGTGTGCCTGGCGAAGGAGGTTTAAGGGTGCCTTGAGCACCTTGAGCAGGAGATCGTAAGGTGCCTCATAGAGGAAGGCTTAACATGCCTCATGGAGGGTTAATGGCACCATAGAGGATGACTTGATTGCCTCGCCAAGAAGGACTTTAAAGTGCCCAAAATATACTTCTAAGAATAACATAATGTTCTTCTTACATAAAATTGCATTGTAGAATTAAAGGTATATAAGGATTTGATGATTGCATTTTAGCTTAAACATTGGCTGCTACTCTAGAAAGAAATTCTCATTACAAAAGGCAGCCAAGATTCTTTTATCTGAGGTTTGTGACAAAACTATTTTAAAAATAGACTAAAACATTGTCAATGCGGATTTGCTAAAACTGGACCACATATCCAAATTACAGTCACTGACAACAATAATATTACTCACCGGGCAAGAAGAATCTGTCCATTTGGAGATACAAGAACAATGAAAAGAATGATTGCAAATTGTTGTTAAAATCCCACTTGTGTCCATGTCCAGACGCTCTGCAGATATAATAGAAAAAGATTGATATAATAAATGGTGCTAAAATGAAGTGTGTGATAATGATTTGAAAAGTTGAGAGGCAGCCTTTTCGAAGAAACTAGTATTCCTAATGTGAAAGCCACTGAAGAAAGGTGCAATTTAATTATTTGATTCATGATTTTTTAGGTAGAAGGGGGTAATGGAAGGAAACACCGTAAGAAGAGCCTTTTCCTGACAATTTTTCTCAGGCAAGCCACGGTGGTTCAAAACTTTGACATTTGGGTCACCAAAGGAAGAGCCGTGTACTACACCAAGCCACGCAACAGTTTCAAACATAGCAAATTTGCAATCAGCATCATTGGCTTCACACAAAAACTGCACCATCAAATTCATTAATACCTAGACAGACTGGACATGAAGGCTGCTCTATAGTGCTTGGAGGAGATATCTGCAAGTGTTCAATTGATCCAGTGTAATGTACATCACCCGTGAAAAGCACACAGCAGGTTTCTTCCTGTACTTGGAGACAAAATAAACATGAAAGAAGACCTTTTTACTTTTAACGATGGTGATTGAATATCAAAATACCAACAGGGGTAAAGTATACCTCAAGAGACGAGAAATGTCTACCACTAAAATGTTTGTAGAAAGAGTCAGCAGAATTTTGATCATCAAACCTTATCAATATACTATATCTGTCTTCTATTCCTTCATTCCTAGGCTCACATAAATACAATATACACAATACAAGAAATATCAGAGACGATTAATAGAACAATGTTGGCCAGTACAGTTCTCCAAAAATATACCTGACGATTCGCATTTCCAGCATATGTTGCACAAATGAACCACAAAACTGACAGAAGTCTGAATAAGTCATGTGATTGGGTACCCCCAGCACACAGAGAAGAGGTTTTCTTTCAGCCTAAAGACATCAAAGTAAAAATGGAAGAGGATTCATGACATCGTGTTCTGTAATTTTTCCAAAAATATCCATCTTTCAAAATATCAAAACAAACAACTAACAAGAAGACATGACCGATCACAATGACCTATTTATAGATATTTCTTACCCCCACCCACCTCACCCAAAAAAGGGCATCTTCTGGCATGTGGCATATACGGAGTATTCAGTTTGGTTGATAATTTCAAAAAATAGCTTCATAAACGACCAAATATCTAACTAAATTGAAGCAGAAACACGAGTGAAATGGAGAATACAGGGGAATATTTAAAGCGGATTATTACAGGCAACTCAGAAGGAGATGAGACGGCATCATTACGGAAGAAATGCATCACGCCCCTGTTTTCTTCGATACGAGGATTCCCGGAAGAAAAATGAAACGCCTGAGTGATGCTAGAGGTAGATGTGGAAGAATCGCCGGATGCCATGCTGTTCACTGACCGAAACCGATCCTCCGAAGAAACACCTGTGATTGTGACGGAACTGCTCGATGTTGATTGCGACATGATCTTCGCAAAGTAGTTGAAAGATTGAACCTGGAGTTCGAATCGGGTTAGAGCGTAACTTGTCGGATATATTAGGATCAATGGTTCCAGGCAGAGTGGGCGTGGTTCACACTCCGGATCCTCAAGAATTGGTGGATGAAATGGGACAGGGGCATAGAGATGTACTCCGTATGACCGTATCAAATGCAAATTGTAAAGCCAAAAATCAACTATATCGTTAGTAATTGGGAGAACTATTAAAATAAGAAAATAAGAGTTAGAAACTTGAAACATAAACTTTTCTAAATAAAAGTAATTAGCTTAATTATTTAATATAATGGCTTAGAGTTAAGAAACGAAGTAGAAGTAAAACATTAACCATGTACCAAAATAGAAGTTATATTCATATTACAAATATGAAATTAAATACATTTTATAAATTAAAAAAAACTAAATTTGCTACCGCCCCTACAGCACATGTCATTGTTGCCACTCTGCAACCATCGTCGCTACCGTCGTCGCCGCTACTGTCGTTGCTGTCACTCCATCGCCACAATCTCTTGTTGTCATCGCCCCCATTTGTTGCTGTCAATGTTGCAATCCGCTGCCAACATTGGGATCAGGGCTGCCATTGTCGCCACCATGGTGTCATGGTGTCACTGCCAAGGAAAAAAGATTTCAATACAATGTCAACCAAAGCCACAATGTTAAAGACGATAATGCATACGGACAAACATGTCATTGTATAATGTCAAACATGTTATTGTGTAATGTCAAACATGTCAATATAAAACGTCAAAATTGCCAACATACAATGTCAAGTTTCTTATCACTATCACCAATTTTTGCTGAAATTGAGAGCAAAATTTAAACACAACTAATAGAAAAACAATCAAACAAAAAAAAATTAAAAGAAAAACAATCAAAGACAAAAATGAAAAGAAAAAACCAAACCAAAATCAATACCTAACGAAGGTGCAATTTTTCAGAGAAAAAAAGGATGAATGCAATTAGTTGGAAGTATTTCTTACTTCTACAATACAGTCTCAACTATAGAGCATTTGGGAGCTAATTAAAAATCAAAATCATAGTCATCGCGACTGGCGGTAATCTCAGCTCTTATGGATATAGGCGGTGCAATAGATCTGCAAGGGCAGAGAGATAGAGGCAGCGCTCCACGGCGGATCAATAAGGGATGCTTCGTGACAGATCTGCAAAGGGGAAAGCTGGTGCGGGGGCACTGCAATGAGTGGGCCGGCAGTGATGAACTGCACATGGGGTGGATTTGACAGATGCAACGTTTCAAAATAGTGAGGGTGGTGTCCAAAAATGAGAGAGAGAGGAGAGAAAGACATGGTGGGGTGGCCGTAGGGAAAGGGAGTAGAGAGATGAGATTAATTAGAGATTTAATATTATTTATGAGGATTTTTATTACTTAATTAATTACTCTTATTCATAGGAGTTTAAGTTTGACCTCCTATTTTGAGGATAATTAGTAGTATAAATCAGCTTCATGTGGGCATATCTTTGTCAATGACAACTTCACACACGATCAATTAGATAATTATCTCTTTAATTTCAAAGTAAATTATCAACATAGTTCTTTATAATGATGTATTTTTCAATTCAATCTTCAAAAGATTCTAATTTTACGTGGTTTTTAATTGTTGAAATTTATTTTTAAGATAGTCCTTCGTAAATAATATTATTCAAACAATAATTAATTAAAGGATATTATAACATTTCTATCATCTAAATTTAAAGTATATTCTCAAAATCATCATTTCTATACAATTAAATATAAACTTAAAACAATACATTGAATATATACATAAATCATGAATAATTAAAAGCCTATAAAGAAAATTCTTTAAAAATTCAAATCAAATATACATTTTTTATTTTAAAAAGTTATTTCGAGAAAGTATTTCATTAGAAACGATCATTTTAAGAATTTTTTCTAAAATTAACTGGTAAAAAAACAAAAATACTCCCCAATAAATTACTTTTTTAATAATATTATTTATGAAATACTACGTAGTGAATAAATCTCAATTATAGAAGTTCACGTAGATAATTAAAACTTATTGTATCCTAATTTAGAAAAATACTTTATTACTGAAAACTATTTTTAGAATATATTATTAATTGTAATACTCTTAAAATCAAACATTATACAGATCAAATAACTAAATACTTTGCAAGTGCTTTGTATGAAACAAAAAATTAGTCAAATCTTTTAGGGCTCATTCTATGAGTTTTATAGAAATGATAAGATATGAGTTATGAAATCTGTGAGAAATGACATAGATTTTGAAAACTGAAATGAATTCGTTTGGAGAGATTTAAAATCGTGATTTAATTAGTGATAAGCGAGGTGACCGGTAAAGGGGGTGGTTGGCAGTGATAATGGTAGTCGATAATGAAGAATGATCAATGGTTGAAAGAGATATCAAACCCCCATATGGATATCTCCCAAATTCAGGAGATATCGGAACCCTCCATTTGAAAGATTTATGAAATCTAGAGATATTGAATTTTGTTAGAATATAAATAACTGTTCTTGGGCCACAACCACAAGCTTGAACTTTTGGTTGAGTTGGTTCTTTGACATGGTATCAGAGTCTCGTTGACTAAGAGGTCGCGGGTTCGAAACTCAGCGCCACCCAGTTTTTAAATAAATTAAGGTTTCACGTGCAAGGCTCGAAAAAGACTACGCCTGCACGTGAGGGGGCGTGTTATAATATAAATAACTGTTCATGGGCCACAAGCTTGAGCTTTTGGTTGAGTTGGTTCCTTGACAAATTTTATATCTTTTTTTTTGTTTCACGAAACACCCAAAAAGAGTTTTGATATTTGAAGATATCAAAACACATATCTTGTTTGCTCACCAAACACACCCTTAGATGTTCTATAGTAAAAGAATTTTTCGACCTTAAAAAGATATAGTAAAAGAAAAATAAAATAGCCACGGAGTACATTTAAGTCATCAAAAGTGTCTTAAATGCATTTGTTTCAAATAAATGATTGAATAAAAATTAGAAATTAGAATTAAATATAAACATAAAATATCATTAAATATTTAAAATACTCATAAGAGGGAAGAGACAGGTCCTAAGAGGGATGAAGTATCAAATAACAGAACTTAAACCCAACAGCTAAACACATAAACACCTCTAGCCAACTATGTCTTCTACAGATTACCTCCACTACTATGGGAGCGTTGCATTCAACTTATTTTTTCTGCTTATTATTTATTCTTATTAAAATCAAATTAGACCAAATCAGATCGAATCGGATCAGATGAGATCTAATCGGTTCAGATCAGACCAGATCTAAACAAAATTAATATTATTATTTTTATTGCTATTATTACCATTATTATTAGTATTACAATTCTATTACTATTAATATTATGATGGTAATTATTATTACTATTAGTATTATTACTACTATTTTTAATAATATTATGATTTTTATTATTTTTATTATTACTACTATTACTATTATATTTATTATAAATATTGTTATTATTACTATTACTATTATTAATTTTATTACTATTATTATTTATATTATTATTGTTATTATTACTATTACTATTATTACTATAATTTCTATTAATGTTATTGTTGATTTTATTATCAATATTTCTATTATTATTATTTATATTATTATTATTATTATAGTTATTATTATTACTATTATTATCACTATTATTATTATTATTATTTGTATTATTATTACTATTATGATTATTATTATTATTATTATTATTATAACTATTATAATAATAATTTTAATTTAAATCAAATTTATATCAGATGAGACCATATGAAATCAGATCCAATCAAATTAGATCATATCAGACCAGATTAGATTAGAATTTCAAAAAAAATCAAATCAGATCAGGTTAATGTAACGTAGCCTATGCCCAAGAATAAGGTTAATCGTAATGTGGAATCAGTGGATACCCCTACGATGCTTCAAGAATTACTGGAAGAGTACAATGGTTATTTCAGGAACCTCGAGGACCCCCACCTTCTAGAGGAGTCTTTGGCCATTCAATAACTTTTCTGCTTAATGCTAAACTTATCAATCTAAGACCTTACTGGTATCCTATTAAATAAAAATGCGTGATTGAACAATTGGTGAGTGAAATGAAGAAAGGGGGTATAATACAGGATAGGGAAAGTCTTCATACATCCCCAGTAGTTTTGGTAGGGGAAAAAATGGTAGCTGGAGGCTCTATGTGGACTACAGAGAATTGAACAAACATACCGTGAAACACAAATTTCCTATACCGATGGTAGATGAGTTGATTGATGAGCTAACAGGGGCCACAATGTTTAACAAGATTAATCTAAAAGCCAGTTACCACCAAATCAGAGTATCTCCCAAGGCCATTTACAAAACTGCTTTTAAAACTCACCTTGGCCATTATGAGTTTTGGTAAATACCTTTTGGCCTCACAAATGCTCCTATTACATTCCAAGGCTTGATGAATCATGTTTTTAGAGATCAACTTAGGAAATTTGTGTTGGTTTTCTTTGATCGCATTCTGATATACAGTCTAACATGGGGACTTCATTACAACCATTTTAGAGAAGCTTTCAACACTATGAGGCAGAATCAATTGTTAGCAAAAAGAATTTAGTGTTCATTTGGGGTGCTTAGGGTGGAATATTTGGGTCATTATCAAAATTGACTAGAAAAGCCTTAAGTGGTTATTTGAGAGAAAGATTTCTACACCATTCTAGCAAATTTGGCTATCTAAACTCATGGGCTACACATATCAAATTCAGTGTAAGCAGGGCAGGGAGAACTTGGTAGCTAATGCTCTTTTAAGACAAATTGGAGCAGAAATAGTGTGCTTAACACTATTCACCATTGAATCTTCCTTAATGGATGATATTATTTCTAGTTGGGAAGGGGATGCTACACTCCAAAATTATATACATACACTAAAGCAAAATCAAGCATCAGCTCACTATACTTGGGTGCAGAAACAACTTAGAAAGAAAGGTAAATTGGTTATAGGCCCTAATGAAGTCTTGAGAAGCAAGTTAATGCAATGGGGTCATTCATCACCTATGGCAGGACACTCTGGTTGAGAAACTATTAATCGATTGAATATATGTTCTATTGGAAGGGCATGAACAAGGATGTATCTCAATTTGTGAGAATATGTCTCACTTGCCAAACCTTAAGTATGCCAGTTCAGCCTATCCTGGCTTACTACAACCTCTACAAATTCCTACTGAGGTTTGGAAAAATGTTTCCATGGATTTCATAGAGGGGCTGCTTAAATTCATGGGAAAAGATGTCATATTTGTGGTAATAGACAAGATGAGCAAGTATGCACATTTTTGTTGGACATGAGTTCTAACCACTTTTGGATATTCTTTTAATGTTATTTTTCAGGTCTTGATAAATGATAAAGGCAACGATGAATAAAAAATTCTTTTTTGTTTCGAGAAAGCAAAGAGGCGTATCAAGAATTTTACAACGTTCAAATTCAATGTTCATCCCTACGCAAGATTTTTTGAAGTGAAGCGAAGATTCCGAAGACTTTTATTTTTTGAATCCTAGAAACATTTGTAAGGATGACAAATATTTTTCACTTAAGCAAATTGGTTTTGAGGGTTAAATTATTATTTTTTATAGTCAATTGAAAAATAAAAGTTTCTTTGTCTAAAAATATTTTATTGGGTCAGTTACAAAAAGTGTGTCAAAATTTCTTAAAATATCTTTTTAAGATATACAATTTTTTGTGGTTAAGAAAAAATATTTTAAATATTTTACGTGTACATCGTTTGACACACAAAATAATTTTGGGACTCGTTTCTACACCCAAAATTCCTTTCATTTATTCAAAATTTAAATTTGAAAAATGTTTGAGGTGATGGGGAGCCCTACCCTTAATTTTTTTGTTCGAAACAAACCAAAAAGGCCAAAAACTCATTTCATCTCGCACACATGCTTGTGGTGTAATACCCCGTATTAAGATTAGAATGAGAAGAGCTCAAAAGGATTGATAGTAAACGTCATACCAAATTGTAACGCCACAACCCGGATACCTGAATTTATTCGAATATCCGACTCGCGGTGTTAACGGGTCTAACTTTTTGATTCAGAAAATGGAGCATTAAACAAAACTTATTTATTTATTGATAATATTGGAGTAACTATTATACATGCGGAAGCTTAACATATTCGTACAAAATATATATTTTAAAATAACATCTTTATTATTTTTATCATTCTTTATGTCATCTCGTCCATCCCTCCATCGCCTTAGCATTGTCCTCCGGTTCGGTCACTATTCTGTTTGTGTACCTAAAAAATGGAGCCAACCCGATCAGCAAAAGCTGAGTGGTACCAATTATAACAATAGGTACAAAATATAATAGCGTAAACATATACTTTTCTCAAAACTCTTTACTTTGATAATATCAAATCATTTCTGTTTCAGTATTCCATAAAGGTGCAATATCCACATATTTGAACTTTTTCTTTACTCTGCTTTATTCTTGTTTAACTGGGACTTCAAGTACTTAACGTACAAGACAAGTCCATTATGTAACTGGGACTCCGAGTACTTAACGTACACGACTAGTCCATTATGACGGGCTCGTACGTACGGCAATGGAGGGGTACTGGTCTGTGGAACCTTGTGAACCGTAATTCACATACTAGAAATCGTTTGATAATTTTAGAAAGTATAATTTGTATTCATTTGTATCCCATTAAAATCCATATTTCAAATTCAACTCATATTATACTTTTATATAAATAATTAATACGCAAATCTAATAATAAACATAGAATTTTTTTAAAACCATCTTTTTTTCTTATTTGGGTAAAACTCATTAAGAACATCCTTTTTTATATAATAACTTATTAAAAACTTTATGGGGCTAATTCTAGAAACTTTAGACGTAAAGCATGTTCAAAATAGTTAACGCTATATTTTTTTTGAATTCTAGTGACGGAAATTAAACAGAATATATACATGAAATCATTGTATAAATCTACGTAGTATATTAAGTATCGATTGTTATACGGGCGGCGGTACTCACCTTGATACTTGAAACAAGTTATTTTGACGTAAAATGAAGAAATTAGGACTATGGCAACCTTGGGCAGATTTTGGCTATTTTCCTCCGTTTTCTTGTGGTAGTTTAGTCAAGGAGGTTTTCCTTCTTCATAGAGGGTTTAAACTTTAAGGATAAATGGTTTATTTTTAGTTAGCTAATGTAGGCATGTAGGGTACATGTTTGTGCGTATATTTATACAACATAATACTTAAGCATTAAGTTTTGGATTAAAGCTTAGTGGGATTAGTTTGCCACTCTTCTTCTTTAAAATTATGCCACATCTCCTATGTGGATAAGTATCAATCAATTCATTTCATATTTAATCTCTTTTATCTCAATTAATTTTGTTTCATTTAATGTTTAATTCTGATAAAAAATTTGTTTGACATTTTTAGGATTAAAATGACAATCTGGTTTAGTAGATATAATTATTAAATTTAAAATTTTAATTTCTAATCTAATTTGGTCCGATAAAAAAAAATGCCTTTTTATAAAAAACAACTAAACCAAATTTTGGGGCGTTACAATACCAACAAGGTGCATCTTCTTTTCGAGAGCTCATCACCTAGAAACTCCAAAGTTAAGCATGCTTGACCTGGAGCAATCCTAGGAAGCAGCCCTAGCCTCTGTCCGGCCGATCATTCCGCTGGCATCTCGCATTCATGCCCCCGTTTGACTGCCGCTCAGGGATGTAGTTGTAGATAGGTTAGTCTTAGTGGGTCGTTGGCTCCACTTGTTATCTCCTTCTACGACATGTTGTTGTCGTCGCCATATTCCATATGCCACTTATGGGTGACCCCTTGAAAAGTTTCCTTCGGCGCGCACAACTGAGGACAATGTGTGCGGGAAACACTTGTGTTGGTTTGTGGGGTCAGTCTACAATCCTTTGAGTGGACGCTTACAACCAAGGTGGGGCCCGGGGTGTTACATGTGGTCTACATGTTTTGGGCATTATACATCAATGGATCGATCTCTTGCGTTGGATCGATCACAAGACTTTTTCTTTTGCACGAACTTTATTTCGTTGGATCGATCATATGGGCTGGATCGATCACACAAACTTTTGTTCGTAATTCTCCCTAAAATTTTAAGCCATGATGATCGATCACATGGTTTGGATCGATCACCTGAGCTGAAATCTGTCAAAAATATTTTAACTCTTTCCCCCAACAGATTTATTCCTTATACTTCAATAAAAACCATCTTCCTCCTCCATCAAACACATTCAAGCACTCAATTTCTACCTTTCATATACACATCTCTTGCTCCATTCTTGATCTTCAAAAATATTTTTTTGAGAGCTAGAAATATTTTTTCTTGAGTCCAAAGTTATTTGTCATCAATTAGTGCTAATTTCTTGAAACACTATTTGCTCATTGTGTGAGCCTCTCATTCTTGTGTTGTTGTAAACTCAAATTGTTCTTTGATTTGAGGCTGCGAAGACTTGTCTGATTCAAGTCATGTTGTAAGAAGTTGAGGCTTGAGGAATTCAAGTTCTCAAGTTGTAATTGGTTTTTCAAGCACTCGTTGAAGCTTGAAGTTTAGTAGGACCTTTGAGAGAGTCTCTAAGAGGACTAGACTAGCCACGAGGTGGAGAACAAGTATATATTGTTAGAACAAGTGACCAACGCTAGAGGGGGGGTGAATAGCGTTTGATCGTAGTAATCGCAGGAATAAAAAAAATTAAGAACGTGAAAAATAAAGATCGTAGAAAGCGTAAAGGGAGCACACCAAGATTTATACTGGTTCACCACAACGTGTGGCTAATCCAGTCTCCCGAGCTACACTACTTTCTCGTTAAGCTTACGGGTGCTTAACAAACCGTTACAACCTGAGAACTCGAGTCCCACGAGCCTCAACAACACTTGCTCGGAGATACCGCACTCCAAGACTTCAACCCGAAGGAAAATACCTTTCCTTCGTACAACCAAGGGAAACAGGCTTCCCTTAACATGTATACAACACTAAGACACTCAAGACTAGGACTCTCCTTAAGAGTGGATATTGAGTAAAATATATACGCTCAAGAACAACTCAAACTTCACACAAATTGGCTCTAGAAAGCTATGGAAAATAATGTGGTTCGGATGCAATGATAATAAGAATATTGTGAAGTGAATTGATGTGTAAAGCAGACCCAAACACCCCTTTTTATAGTGCCAAAGTAGGCTCCAACGGATCAAAACATTTAACGGGTGATTGGCTTGATTTATAGGATTGAATAAATTTGGAATCTCCAGGATATTGGCTTCCCATCGATGTTTGGAACTTACCCATCGCTGGTAAGCCAATTTTCCTTCAGTTTTGAAGCCAACGGTTTCCTACCCATCGATGGGTACAAGCTTCCCATCGCTGGGTGGGAGGTTGACTTCCAAACAAGGAAAGATTCAACCTTAAATGACTTCCAACACACATGCCTTCCCATCGATGGTTTATCCTTACCATCGCTGGGTACCCATCGATGGGATAGGTTTCTCATCGCTGGGCAAGGTCGTTCTGCCTTGTGATAATGTTGCACCAAGGCTTTAACAGCGATGGGTAGAACTTCTCATCGCTGTTTGGCATGGTTCTGGAAGTTGGTTTTGCTAAGGGACCGCTTACCCATCGATGGGAAGTTCTTCCCATCGCTGGGTGGGTGGTTAGCCAAAAACCGATGGTTTTTGCCTTAACCACGGCCTAGCCAACCGATGCAAAAACCGACCGAAAAAATCCAAAGTTCTCCAAATTAAAAACCAAGTGTTTAAAATACTTATTTGATGTATTTGGCTAAGAAATCAAGTGAGACACGTTAAAAATCACGTCATTTGAGTAAAAACCACGGCTAGCCAAGTTTATGCCGTTTTGCATGGTTTTTGCCAAACGACCAAAGACGAAAGGTGGTTTTCAAAGTTTTTTTGTTGGAGAACTGTTTAAACATGCCAAGAAGTGCCTGTTTGGGATTAGCTTTAGCGATTAGCGTTAGAGTTTTGAAAAGGCTATCTACGGGCAGCGTTTAGCGTTAGCGTTTTCAAAATAATCTGCACCGTTAAAATTTTATCCAAAACGCTGACGCTAATCTCTAACGCTATTCCCAAACAGGCTCGAAGTAAAAACCAATCATAAAATGTTGAAAACCACTTGGTTGGTTCGGACGCCAAAAACCAACGCCGATAACCGAAAGCCAAACGCCGGTCTCTGAAAGCCGAACGCTGGATGGCTTGGTTTTTGGTTTGGGCAAACACCAAGTGTTTTTGATTATTTAATCATGTTTGAAAAAATTTTTTATGATGTGATGAATGCAATAAAAGATTTTAGCCTAAAGAGCCATGCGTGAAGGTTGGGTCGGTCTTGATCACAATTATGACCGACTCAACGATACTAAAGACTACGGTCTTCGTTCTTGGTCTCTTTTAGCTCTTGTTCTTTATCTCCGTTCTTCGCCTTGTATATTCAATGTTTGTCTTGATCACGGCGGTTTGGCATTATCAAAACCTGTCATAAAAACAAACACGGCTTTAGTACGAAAACGTGATAAGCCCGTATTTCAACAATTTCCCCCTTTTTGATAATGGCAAACGAGACGAGGTTATGCATGCGAGGATAATTTTGAGACCAAAAAAGATGTTCCCCCTTAAAAGATGCCATTTTATTTTTAGCAAAGTAAAAAACAATTCTCCCTCAATTTATGCATAACCTTGATATCTTCCCCCTTTTGACATTAACCAAAAGAACTAAAAGTAAACTTTAGAATTAATAAGTAAACTTTTATTCATTAAAAGGGAAATGCGGAATGCAACGGATAAAAATACAATCATACTTAATAAGGAGAAAATATAGAAGAGGTCGTGGCGTCGGTGTTGGCCTTCTTCTTTGAATCCTCGGTTTTGGTCCCTGACTTTCCTCTGGCCATTGATGAAGTATTTAGAAAGTGAGTCGAGGCTTAAAGTATGCAAGAGGAATGTGAATTGTGTGTTAAAAATGACCAAGAATGGTTAATATTTATAGGAAAAGAGAATTTGGACCCTTGGTGTTCAAAAATATGGCTGTTGGGCATTGAATGAGGTTCCCAACGGCTATGATTTTTGAACTGCAACAGGCTTCCCAGCGATGGTAAGGTTCTCCCATCGATGGGAAGACAGGTGCTGGAAAGGGAGGAAAAAGTGAAGGCAGCCTTCCCAGCGATGGTAAGGTTCTCCCATCCATGGGAAGACAGCTACTGGAAATCTGTTAAAAAAAATTTTTTTAAAAAAGTGTCAAACACCCAGCGATGGGAAGAAGTTCCCATCGATGGGAAGAGGACTACTGGTTAGAAAATACTTCCTTCCCAGCGATGGGATAAACCACCCATCGCTGGTTCCCCCTGAGTTCCTCACTTTGATACGTACCTGCAAAAAAAACAACACTTTGGTACCCAAAGTATGTCTATGGGTCCTTGGGGGTTAGTTAACCTTTATTTCCCACACACACTCAAAATTTGTTTCCTTACGCCCACACACACACACACACGATTAGATGATTGTTTAGGAGTTACCTTGGCCAACCCATGATCTTGTGGTTGGCGGGTTCCAGTCTAATTGAACGGAGTGTCGATATCTTGGTGTGATTTGTGTTGGTTCCGGTAATGGAATGTGGACTTTCTTTTTTTCGTCAAAGTAGAAGAAATAGTAAGGTTTCTTTTGTGCATTATCCTGTGGAGATTGTTTATGATACGAATATCCTTTTCCAAAGGATTTCTTTTTGTTAACACCAAATATGTTGTGTGTTTCATTATAGGTGAAGTGCCTATGTTTGGTAAAACACACGGGAGCTATATGTCCTACCCTATTGCAATAATGACATACTACGTTTGGGTTGAACATATGCCTAGGTTGATAATAGCTAGGGGGCTTAACCATGTTTGTCCTATTTTGAGAAAAGGATGGTTTATGCATGTTTTCAAAAGGATCATTTCTAGGTGTTCTCATATTGTCATTTCTATTTTGAGAAAAATTATTTTTATGCACAAAATCATTTTGATAATTTTTCTTAGGTTGTCTACCATGAACGTTTTCATTCCTAGGTTTTTGTCTAGGTTGTCTAGTCTTCTTAGATTGACTAGGTTTTCTATTAACTTCATTTTTATCTTTCTTACGTTGAGCCTTAGGAGGTTGTCTAGGTGTTTGCTCAATGTTTTCTTTATTTCTAGGTTCATCAATCTTCCCAAAACCTATTCCTTGTTTAGTGTATTGCATAGAATCAAAAATGAGATTAAGATCTTTATGTGGTTTATTAAATTTCTTCACCGTGTTTTCTAATTCAGCAACTTGTTCTTTCAAGGCTATGCAAGAGTCACAAGGTTTTGTAGAGCTCTCGGGTTTGTCGGCGCTTCTTTTACCATAAAATTTATTTTCCTCTTTTAGTTTTTTGTTTTCCTTTTGAAGTTTTTCAAACTCAGTTTCAAGATTAGAAAAACGTTTTTTTAAAGCTTTGTTGGTTTTAAAAGCGCTAACAAACTCATCATAAAGCTCTTGGAGAGCTTCTTGCATTTCTTCAAGAGAATAAGAACCGGTAGAAGAAATACGTACCTCTTGGTTTTCGTTGTTGGCGGACTCCTCTTCTTCTTGAGCTATGAGACAAATATTTGCTTCCTCTTCTTCCTCTTGTTTGCTTGATTCATCGCCGGAGTCGCCACCCCAAGAGATATATGCCCTTTGCCTTTTGAAGTGCCGAGCATTCCTTCCGCTTTTCGGGCATTTGTTCTTGATGTGCCCGGCTTCACCACATCCATAGCACACAGGGCCATCCTCAGCCTTCTCTTTCTTTAGAAGTTTGCAAAACTTCTTCATGATGAGCTTGACTTCATCTTCATCGCTTGAGTCATTCATTGTCGGTTCTTTGGAGGCTTTTAATGCTATGCCTTTTCTCTTGTCATTCAAAGACGGATTAACTATAGTATATTCATATGTTTTTAAGTTACCTCTTAAACTGTCGATGGTGACATTTGATGTGCCGATCGACTCATAGATGGCATCAGCCTTGGATCGCCATTCGGATGTCAAGCTCCGTAGGATCTTTCCTACAAGATCCCTGTCGGTGTAAGTCTTCTTCAATGCATGAAGATCGTTGACTATCTTGGAAAATCGGTCGAACATGTCGTCGATCTTCTCGTGCTCCTTCATCCTGAACATCTCATATTCTTGGGTGAGGAAGTCAATCTTGGCTTCACGTACTTGGTCCGTTCCTTCGTACGTCACCTCAAGTTTATCCCACATCTCCTTGGCGGTTGAGCAGCAGGAGATCTTGCAGTAGTCATCAGGATTTACAGCACAATAAAGCATGTTTATTGCCTTTGCATAGTTCTCGACCTTTTTGATGTCCTCGGCATCAAACTCGTCTTCGGTCTTGGGGATCAACTTGTCGCCAACTTTCTTCATCGGCACCTCTTCCCCATTTTTGATAACCAACCATAATTGGAAGTTTGTGGAACGAATATAGATTCTCATTCGATCTTTCCAATATGTATAATTGGTTCCATCAAAAAGAGGTGGCCGTGTAGTTGATTGACCTTCACTTATTCCTGCGTACAAATTTCTAGAAGAAGAACCCATGATCGCTTTTACTCTCAAACGGTTATGTTTGGACGCGAGTTAGACTCTGATACCAATTGTTAGAATAAGTAACCAACGCTAGAGGGGGGGTGAATAGCGTTTGATCGTAGAAATCGTAGGAATAAAAAATTAAGAACATGAAAAGTAAAGAGTGTAGAAAGCGTAAAGGGAGCACACCAAGATTTATACTGGTTCACCACAACATGTGGCTAATCCAGTCTCCCAAGAGACTCTCTCGAGCTACACTACTTTCTCGTTAAGCTTACGGGTGCTTAACAAACCGTTACAACCTGAGAACTCGAGTCCCACGAGCCTCAACAACACTTGCTCGGAGATACCGCACTCCAAGACTTCAACCCGAAGGAAAATACCTTTCCTTCGTACAACCAAGGGAAACAGGCTTCCCTTAAAATGTATACAACACTAAGACACTCAAGAACAAGACTCTCCTTAAGAGTGGATATTGAGTAAAATATATACGCTCAAGAACAACTCAAACTTCACACAAATTGGCTCTAGAAAGCTATGGAAAATAATGTGGTTCGAATGCAATGATAATATGAATATTGTGAAGTGAATTGATGTGTAAAGCAGACCCAAACACCCCTTTTATAGTGCCAAAGTAGGCTCCAACGGATCAAAACATTTAAGGGGTGATTGGCTTGATTTATGGGATTGAATAAATTTGGAATCTGCAGGATATTGGCTTCCCATCGATGTTTGGAACTTACCCATCGCTGGTAAGCCAATTTTCCTTAAGTTTTGAAGCCAACGGTTACTTACCCATCGATGGGTACAAGCTTCCCATCGCTGGGTGGGAGGTTGACTTCCAAACAAGGAAAGAATCAACCTTAAATGACTTCCAACACACATGCCTTCCCATCGATGGTTTATCCTTACCATCGCTGGGTACCCATCGATGGGATAGGTTTCCCATCGCTGGGCAAGGTCGTTCTGCCTTGTGATAATGTTGCACCAAGGCTTTAACAGCGATGGGTAGAACTTCCCATCGCTGTTTGGCATGGTTCTGGAAGTTGGTTTTGCTAAGGGACCGCTTACCCATCGATGGGAAGTTCTTCCCATCGCTGGGTGGGTGGTTAGCCAAAAACCGATGGTTTTTGCCTTAACCACGGCCTAGCCAACCGATGCAAAAACTGACCGAAAAAATCCAAAGTTCTCCAAATTAAAAACCAAGTGTTTAAAATACTTATTTGATGTATTTGGCTAAGAAATCAAGTGAGATACGTTAAAAACCACGTCATTTGAGTAAAAACCACGGCTAACCAAGTTTATGCCGTTTTCAAAGTGTTTTTGTTGGAGAACTGTTTAAACATGCCAAGAAGTAAAAACCAATCATAAAATGTTGAAAACCACTTGGTTGGTTCGGACGCCAAAAACCAACGCCGATAACCGAAAGCCGAACGCCGGTCTCTGAAAGCCGAACGCTGGATGGCTTGGTTTTTGGTTTGGGCGAACACCAAGTGTTTTTGATGATTTAATCATGTTTGAAAAAAATTTTTATGACGTGATGAATGCAATAAAAGATTTTAGCCTAAAGAGCCATGCGTGAAGGTTGGGTCGGTCTTGATCACAATTATGACCGACTCAACGATACTAAAGACTACGGTCTTCGTTCTTGGTCTCTTTTAGCTCTTGTTCTTTATCTCCGTTCTTCGCCTTGTATATTCAATGTTTGTCTTGATCACGGCGGTTTGGCATTATCAAAACCTGTCATAAAAACAAACACGGCTTTAGTACGAAAACGTGATAAGCCCGTGTTTCAACATATATCGCGGTATTCTTCTTTGTCTTCACTCCTTTACATTTTTCCTGCAATTTTTTCTTTACGTTTATCACACAAAAAATGCTCATTCTAGATAAAAAAGTCTATTCACCCTCCCCTCTAGACTTGCACACGTTGTCCAACAATTGGTATTCGAGTAGGAAATTCTTCGAATACGTCTTATTTTTCAGGAATTCAAAGATCAATGGAATGACTTTTAGAATGTTCAACGCAGAAGTTAACAAAGGTCAATCCACTACGAGGCCACCTTTGTTCGATGGAACAAACTACTCGTATTGGAAAGAGAGGATGAGGATCTTCATTCAATCCAACGACTATAAGTTATGGTTGATCGTAAAGAACGGTTGCGGTGTTCCAATGAAAAAGGTCGGTGAAGTCAACGATCTTAAAACCGAAGAGAAATACACCGACGAAGATTGCAAAAGGATGGAGCTCAACGCTAAAGAAATAAATATGATTTATTGTGGCGTTAATGCGGATGACTACCGCAAGATATCGCGGTGTGAAATCGCAAAGCAAATGTGAGAAAAGTTGGAGATCACCTACGATGGAACCGTCCAAGTAAGAGATTCGAAAATCGATCAACTCACCCACAAGTATGAAGTGTTTTCCATGAAGGAGAACAATAAGATAGAAGATATGTTTGAGAGATTCTCAAACACTGTCAACCCTTTACATCTTCTCAGGAATTTTTACACCGACCGAGAACTCGTAAGGAAGGTGCTACGTAGTCTATCACCAAAATGGCGCTCAAAGATGGACGCCATTGAAGAAGGTCGTGACTTTTAAACGGCTACTTATGATTCTCTTTGAGGTTACCTTATTACCTATGAAACCACTCATTTTTCCAAGGTGGTAGAAGAGAAGAGCAAGAGAATCATTGCTCTTGCATCAACATCAAACAACGACAACAATGGTGATGATGAAGATGATAGCGACGACACCGACCTCAGGATGTTCGTGAGAAGATTTAAGAAGATGATGTCCAAGAAGAGAGCCAAGAAGAACACTCCACCCAAGTGCTATGGGTGTGGTGAAATTGGACACATTAAACTAATGTGTCCTAAGCTCAAGAATGAGGACAAGAAAGACTCAAAGAAACAACGAGCTTACATATCGTAGGAGAACAATGGTTCCTGGAGTGAAGACTCGAACGTAGAAGAAACAGCCAACCTTTGCCTCATGGCCTTAGAAGAAGGAGAATCGTCAAAAGAAGTAAGTGATCAAGAACCTTTCTCCAATGATTCCTTAACTCTTAATGATATAGTTAGTATTGTAAAAGAGTTAGTAGGAATGTTTGAGAAGACCTCAAAAGAAGTAAATGAAGTTAGACAAAAATCCTAGATTTTTGAAAATGATGTTAAGGCACTCAAAAATATAAATGCTCAACTTAAACAAGAAATTATTTTGTTTGGGAAAATATACATGCAATCATTGTATTACACTAAAAGCTAAGGTTGCTAGCTTAGAAAATACATTGGGATTGGGAAAGTTTAATAATGCTAGTAGAACCCTATATAAAATACTTAGGAAAAATATAGTAATGGTGAATGACTAGGATATTAGAAGAACCAACCTAGAAAAACAACATTTGTGAAGGCTAAAGGTAATCAACAAGCTAGGATTAAAAACCAACCTAGAAGAGAACCTCCTACCAAACCTAGAACTCATTACACTCAACCTTATAGGAATAATAACCCGAATGGTTTTTGTCATTATTGCAATATAATTGGACACAGTGCACCCGTGTGCTTTACCAAACATAGGCATTATTTTCAATAAACTCACACACATCGTACACATGCTAACAAAAAAGGACCCAACAAGGAGTGGGTACCTAAACTGTCTCCTTGATCTTATTTTGTAGGTGTGCTTGAAGGCTTCCAGTACCTCTTGGTATCTAGATAGCAGATGCTCCAAGCCAATGACCGGAGGCGCATCCAAATTTAGGAACATAGATTATTTCAAAGGTGGCAATGTTGTTTTTGGTAAAAACAACAAAGCAAGGATCGTTGGTAGTGGTGTTGCCCCTTGTGTTTTGATTATGACAAACATATTTTGATGCTTTAGAGTGCTTAACAAGTTGACTTAGGATATCAAGTCAAGCTTTGAAGATGTAAAGGTTTTCTTAGTATTGTTTGTTGTCTTAGCATATCTTGTTAAAGTGTATGACACATTGTTGATTATCCTTATCTTAAATTGTTTTTCCAAAGCTTTTCAAATTGCTTTTTAGTTAGTTACAACAGTCATTTTTTCAAATTTCTTGGAAGTTATCCTATCCATATCCTATATAACCACTCTTGTTTTGGATTTCTCAACATCAATTACTCCCAAAAACATTCAAACACTCATCCTTTGATTATTCAAAGAGTTCAACACAAATCAACTATTCTCCTATTCAATTTCTAAGTGATTCTTCAAGAAAATTCTTTCACTTGAGTCTTGGAGAAGATTAGAGTGTACCATACTCTATAAGATCTTGTAATCTATAGCAATCCACTCTTATTTGAAGAGTATTTACCGTTGTGCACTTCATTTGTAAGTTTTACTTTGAGATTGTAAAAACTTGAATTTGAAATAATTCAAGTTTGGGAAGAAATCCAAAGTCTTGTGAAATCAAGACTTTGGTGGTAAGATAAGAGACTTGTGAAATCAAGTTCTCAAGTTGTAATCAGATTATCAAACTCCATTAAGTTTGATGAAATTTGTGAAATCTCGGGCACGTTTGCTTTGGGGGCTTGACGTAAGCATTTAGGCTTAGGGGCGGAGGAGAGGGGGGGGGGGCTGCCTGGGCACGTGCCCCCCCAGCGAATGTCCGGCGAAGTACCAACGACGATGATGCGCAAGTCGTGCCCCCCAGTCCGATGTCCGTTGTTCCGTTGAGGAAGATGAGTTGCAGGTTTTAATGAACCGATCCAATCAGGAGACTAGACACCACGTTAGTTTCAATAAGGCTTTTTCCCCTACGACGTCGTTTCCCTAAGTATATTTTAAAATTATTATTTTTAAAACACCTATCTTCAAGCACCCAACCTCTTCATTGGATTATATTCTTCCGGTTTCCGCCCTCCCCTCAGCCAATCGCCTAGCGCCAAAGCCGTTGTGCACCACAGGTGTTTTTAATGGGTTAAGTTATAAATTTGTTCTAAAACATTAATTTTAATGCTTCAATTTATAAATCTGCTCAAGAACATTAAATTATTGGTGGTTTTTTGTTTTGAATACTCTTAATTTTAATGCTTTAGTTCATACGAAGTAAATAATTGTGGGTTTTTTGTTTCTAGGTGAAGAAATGCATGTAAGTTTTTTTAGGGCGTGATAGAGTAATTTGATTTTTTCCCCTTATTTAAGAGATTATTGTTGAATACCAATTTTAAAAAGAGATTATTTTTTTATTAGGCATACTAATTATAATGCCATTTAATTATTTTGTTTTGAACTACTACCTCTATCTCAAAGTATTCATCTAGTTTGACCTTTTCAAGTCAAATTTGAAAAATTTTAAGGCTCGGTTAAGTAAAAGCTAAAATATATATTAATATAACAATGATTTTATTAGATTTAGGCAGCGTACCGTTCAACATATTTTTGTGCTTATTACTTATTCTTATTAACTTTTAATATTTGAGAAAATTTAGGACAAAGAAAGTATTTGAATATTTGAGAAAATTTATTAACTTTTTGACATTTCTATTGTGTTTTTATTTTTTAATAATAAAAAAATCTAGGGGCGCTGCCCCCGGACCCCCATAATGTGCCCCCCCCACTCATGGCGTCCTGGCTCCGCCACTGTTTAGGCTGAACAAGGATACACCGTAACCAACACAAGTCTTTCCCGCGCACTTTGTAGTCACTCGTGCGCCCAAAGAATTTCCCAAGGGGTCACCCATCCTAATATTGCTCCAAGTCAAGCACGCTTAACTTTGGAGTTTCTAAGTGATGAGCTCTATAAAGAAGATGCACCTTGTTGGTACAAGTAGTACTATCAATGCTTTTGAGCTCTCTTCCATTCCCATCTTAATTTGGGGTATTACACCGAGTATGAAAATCAAGACAAGAAAAATGTCATGCGAAATACCAACACACCGGCCAATGAGATGTGGAACAAACTTGAAGTTACATATGAAGGTACATCTCATGTAACACACCGGCCCCCACCCTGGTCGTAACCGTCCGCTCATAGGATTGTAGACTGGCACCACAAACACTAACACAAGTCTTTCCCACACACTTTGTCCTTACTCGTGCACGCCCAAGGAAACTTTCCAGGGGGTCACCCATCCTAGAGTTGCTCCAAGTCAAGCACGCTTAACTTTGGAGTTTCTAGGTGATGAGCTTTCGAAAAGAAGATGCACTTTGTTGGTATGAGTAGTACTATCAATCTTTTTGAGCCATTTTTTTTCAATCCATTTATTTTCAAATCAGGGTATTACATACCAAAATGTAACACCCCACCCTGGGTGACCCGATACACCCAGACGAGAGGGTTAGCAAAACTGGGTTTACCTTGCAAAATATTATTTTTCTTGAAATAAATTCTCATTTTGATAATTAAGGAGTTCATAATTATTCGCTTAAGCTTAAAGTGAAAATGTCGACAGTAATACAACCTTGGGTTCAAGCCTAAAAAAACATAAATTAAGTTCAACAATTTTTTTTATTAAATACTAATTAGAAATTTCTTCGGCACGGCCTCCACGTCTTAGCCTTTCTTCCTGAGCAGTTGTTCCCCTTACTTGTACCTGCGTGCATTTAAATACTACACGCTCAGCATAAAGCTTAGTGGAAAATAACCAGTAGGCATATATAACATGTAAATATATTTTGGGCATTTTAAGTTATTCAGGTTTTAAAATCTTTTTTCATAATTAAAACCATTTGAGGAAATAATCTCACTTTGAACAGTTACTTGGGGATATTTAGAAAACTCAAGACCTACTAGGTTAACCACAGATTAGAGACTAAGCCGGGACTAGGTTGGAACCCCGCACTAGTCGAGACGTAGTTTTACTTCGGATACCTCCGCGTGACTTCGGGTCCAGTAATCAGAAGTGAACCCTAGACCCACGGGGTTATCTTTGAGTTCTCGTGCGCATGTTGTGGTATCATCTGTACTGCACTAGCTAAAGAAATATATTTAACTGATCTTCCATGGGATTCTTCAGAAAGAAAAAAGGTTAGAGAAATTTTTTTCTACAATGAAACATGTGAAGTCAAATATGCGGAATCGATTGGATGATGAGTTTCTGAATGCTTGTGTGATTTGTGCTATGGAAGATGAAATATTTTTTAATATTACAAACAAAGATATATTTGATCGTCTTCAAAAGATGAAAACTCGAAGAGAACATTTGTAAGAGGGATGTTCTATTAATTTAATTGTCCCTTTTTTTAACCTGATTTTTGTCACTTTAATTTACTTAATGCCTCTAGTGAAAATATTTTCTGAATTCGCCACTAACTGAACATTTGAATTTAATATCAAATTGAATACGAATAATAATAATTATTTAAATTAAAAACGAATATTAATATGAATAATGGTATCATTTTTTAAATAGTAACAAATTTTTTTTGTAATATTCCATACGATTCGTTTTTTTTACCCCCATAGTCCCATATAAGCAGTAGTTCTGTGAGTGTAACATACTCTGCACAATTTCTTCATCGTCGGACTCTCTCCTGCCGTCGCTATGGCTTCTTTTTCGATAGACGTAGTAGCGCCCTTTTTGGTGATAGCCAAGCGGAGGGTCACGCCAACCCTAACCTACACCCTAATTCCTCGAGTATGGAGAACCGGCTGCTCTCGGAGCGGGAGCTCCCTATTCGCTTCATCATCATCCTCATCTGTTCGTTCGAGGAGTATCTCTACTGCCGCGTCCAGTTATTCCCCAAAATGGAGGCGCTTATCTAGGAGGTTCACTGCCTGTGCGACCACAACTTCCACTCCGCAAGGCGAAGCTTCTGAAGTCTTGACTGATATTGTGCCCGATAATCGCATTCCTGCTACAATTATCACCGGTTTCCTAGGTTCCGGAAAGGTATTTCCTGCTGTCATTCATCGATGTCACTGTAATATTTTTAATCAATTTAGCTTGGTTTTGAATTGGTGGAAGTGCTCTTTTATGTTAGGCGGATGAATCTCTAGACCTAAGGAAAGGATCACTAGACGATTTTAATACTCCCTTCGTCCTGTTTCGTCTGGAAATTGTAGGGACAAACTTTGAGTCCGTTTTTCATTTTCCCAAACCCCTCCCACCCTCC